CCCCCCCAAAAAAAAAAGAACGGATAAAGATCCCTAAGAATAGTTATAATATATGAAGTTAGACCATACGGAGAACTTACCTATGTACACACAGAAACTGGCGCGTAAAACGAGCAGGTAAATAAAAACGGCTTTGGCTGTTACTTCCATGAAGTAATCTTCTGTCTGCTAACGCTCGACGGAGTCGGTGGTTGGAGGGTGTTACCAGCAGATCCTGCTTCGTCTTGACCGGCCCCTTTTTCTCCTTTACCTCCAAGTCCCGGGTGGTGGAGGGTGCCACTGGTAGGTCCTACTCTTTTGTTTCTGTCTGTCCTTCCTTTTCTTTCGGTATTAGATTACCGTTATTGTGTTCGTGTGCTTGTCTTTACTCAAACAAACAGATAAATCCCCAAGTCCAAGTCGTAAAGGAAATAACCGTGAGCAATTTGTCCCTCGGTGACACAAACTCTAGCGATGAAGTGAAACGTCTGAAGTCAACCGAGAAAATTGTTTCCCTCCGATTGTTCGATACGCTTTAATAATTAATATCTGATCCCCCATTAGATGGGACTTTATAGTTTCGGCTTGACCTTTGGACGTGTCGTAAAGACTTGAGCTGACCAGAGTTAAGTTGGCGTCTTCGTTTTCCTTTGTCATGTTGCGTAAGTTATTATTGTTTTCGATGTGTATAGGCTATTATACCGGCGTCTGTGGTGTAGCGTTAGGCGCTTGGCTATCGCACACAGGAGACCCCAGTTCGATTCCCGAGTTGGGAGGACATTTTTAAAAAATTGAGTATTGCGGTTTTTTTCTTTTGGGATGCATCCATTATATCAGCCTGGGTTGGCCCTCATAGGCTGGGTCGGAGCCCGCCCTTTAAATGATCTAAACTCTGGTGTCGATGGGGGCGTAAGAACTTATTCTGCATTTAAAAGAGTCTTAAAACCGACGATTTATTAATTTATTTTGTAGCACGAGACAAAACAAACAAGCAAACACAGCAATTACTTGAACTGTATAATAACAACAGGGTCAGACAAGGGAAAGCTACCGCCGTCATTGGCATGGATCACACACATGTTGGAGAAGCTTGGTTGGCGGGTGCTGTGGTGTGGTTTCTACTTCTTTCCTAGCAAACATCTATTTTTTTTACATGTATTTCCTCCTTTTTTTTACTCTCTTGTAACACGTCTAACCATTGGCACTCACATGATCTAATTATGTTGCAAGTGCCGTAAAACGCTGACTAAAAGAAAAATCTCTCTCTTGTTGTGTTTGTTACTCTCTTGTAACACCTCAATTCTTCGGCATTTATGTGACCTTATTTTATTGTTGCAAGTGCTGTAAAACGGTTATTAAAACTAATTAATAAGTAAAACGATTCGGAAGCACGCACATTTTCTCGTGCCAAGTCATTGTAGTAAGATTTGTAGGAGCTATTATAAACGTGCGGATGGTCGGAGGATCTTTCCTTCTTTTCTTTTCCGCTGTTGTTCTGTCTGTATTTCCCCTCTTCTGTAAGTGACCGTCGATATCTGTATGTGCTTTTCTTTATTCACATCTAGACATTCATTGATTGACATGGCCAGAACGTAATTTTGTTTATAGACGGTCGAGTGAATTAGCATAATAATAGACTTGTACGTTTAAAAATCTAATATCCTAGCCCGCGCTCTGTCAGTCGTGGGTGGTTGGCGGGGGATCCGGTTTGGTTTGCTTCTTCTTTCCTATCAAACATCTATCCTCCTTATCTCTCCTCCTTTCATTTTTGTGTTTGTTACTCTCTTGTAACACCTCTAATCTTCGGCCCTTATAAAAAGTAAAACTCTTACTAAAACTAAACTGTCATGGCCTCCGCTTTTTGCTCTCTATAAAAAAGTTCGGTGCGAAGCGTGCTCACCATGGGCAGTGTCAAATGAAGGGCATGCGGTCAGAATAGATGACACAGCTTTCTATGCACGTAGGAGAGGTCGCGTTGGTGCTGAGATATCGATTTTTCGATTTGTTCTTCACGAGACGGAAAAATATGTCCTAACACATTAAACTAGGTCCCGTATCCACAAAATGAGTAGAATAAGTCTGAACAGACTAAGGGTTTTTAAGTTTTTGAATGCCAACGTGAAATTATCCCTTGACAACTTGTTCATTATCAGCGTTTGCACCAAAAAAACCCAGACAAGCTATGCTAGTGCTTTTTCGATTTTCTCAAAAAATTAAAACTTTTAGGGGCTGTGGTTACAATAATTGATTTGTAATTGACTCGTTAATGTGATCGGCATGCTTTGTATGGCAGTCTGTCAAAGTGATTTTTTGAGAAATACTGAAAGTTTCAAAGAGATTTTCGTACTAGAAGTATTCTAAAATGTGAAGAATGCAACCCCGGGGGTACAAAATCACCCCAGGGCGTACGAATAGGGTTAATAGTGATGAACTGGTATCTATTGTGTAGCGGTTGGGCGCAACTCTGTAGCACACCGAAGCTGAGTTCAATTCCCGGATGAGGAAAGGTTTTTTTTTTTGAGTGAGTCCGTCTCTTTGCAGGGACATTGTATCCCTTCTATCAGTCTGGGTTGGTTTTGACAGGTAGGGTAGAAGCTGGCCTCCAACATGGTCAAATTCATTTTGGTGGGGACATGAATCACCTCCATTAATAAAAGTAAATTTTAAAACATTTTTGCGTTTGGATGGAGGGCACCACCATTAGCTCTTACTTCTTTATTTTCCCTCTGTTGTTTCTGCCTTTGTGTCATTACTTTTTCTCAGCACTAAATGACCATTATAGTGCCAATGTGCTTCTCTTTATTCAAACAAACAAATTCATTTCCCTGAAATGTGAGTGGGTGGTTGGCGGGTGCTCTGGTGTGATTTGCTCCTTCTTTCCTATCAAACATCTATCGTCTCTATCTCCCCTCCTTCTATTTTGTGTGTTACCCACTTTTAACACCTCTAATCTTTGGCACTTATATGACTTTATTGTGTTGCAAGTGCCATAAAACACTTACTAAAACTAATCTTTACTCAAACGAACAAAAGTTCTGAGAATTTGGTGAACTGACATCAAGTTTTGTCTTTGTTTGTCCCCAGGGCTCAGCTGCAGTTCTACAGCGGCGGTCTGAGAACGAGGAGCCAGTGGAGGTTGGCCGTCTGGGACCCTCGGATTATTTTGGTATGGTGTGGTGTTGTTGTTGTTGTTGTCGTCATCTTTGTTGTTGTCATTTGGGGTTTTTTCTGATTGTTTGTCGATGTTTTTGCTTGCATTTTTTAATGTTATTCTTGGCGTCATAGTTATCATTGTTGCTTATGCTCTGAGTAGGTGGGGTTTTATTTTTCTACTTAGTTTCAGGTGGGTAGTTGGAGGGCTCTTCTGGTAGGTTCTTCTTTACTTACCCTCTGTTGTTTCTGTCTGTCTTACTTTTTCCCAGCACTAAATGACTATTACTGTGTCAATGTGCTTCTCTTTACTCAAACAAATAAACAAACTTGGTTTCAGAATAAATTGTCTGTTGTTTGTTTGTCTAATTGTGTGTTGTTTATCTAATTGTCTGGTTTATCTAATTGTCTGTTTGTTGTTTGTCTAATTGTCTGTTGGTTGTTTGTCTAATTGTCTAATTGTCTGTTTTCTGTTCATCTAATTGTCTGTTTTTTGTTTGTCTGATTTTCTGTTTGTTGTTTGTCTAATTGTCTGTTCTGTTTGTCTAATTGTCTGTTCTCTGTTTGTCACCAGGGGAGATTGCCTTACTGCTGGACCGGCCGCGTGCGGCAACTGTTGTGGCCCGTGGACCCCTCAAGTGTGTCAAGTTGGACCGTGCACGCTTCGAGCGTGTGCTGGGACCGTGTTCCGACATCCTCAAGCGCAATATCTCTCAGTATAATAGCTTTGTATCCCTGTCGGTGTAGGGGACCCCCCTGGCGGCGGAGCTGGGCGACTTGTCGTTAGAGAAAGGGTGTGTGAGGGGTGTTACTTTACTCCCCATTCTCTCCTGTGCTCAGTTGCTCAGTTTCATCAAATTTAGGATTTATGAAACCAGATATAGTGAAATTTGTATGACAACTAATGCTGATGATAAAGGTGAAGTAAATATTGGTCAGAGTAGCAATAACGTTGACGTTTTGAAAATGTTACCATTCAAACTTTGACTGATTTACTTTTCCTTTATTGAGGCAACGCTACTTTCTTTATTTTCGTTAATTTGAATCATCTGACATGTGTGCATCTGTAGAAACTAGAGAAAAGCATCCGTCACTTTGAAGTCCCTTGCAATAGCCATGTTCCTATTTGGTTATTAAATTATTTCGGTCACTACTAGTAATGTTTTTGCTTGAAAATAATGCTGAAGAGATTTCCCCTTCTATATATTTCACTTTTTCTTCAGCTTGTTCAAGTGATTTACTTACTTATACTGAGTGTGAGATTAACAAACAAGGCTCTCTGAGTTTGCACTCTGCAGTGATAGATTTGAAATTGGAAATCCGAATGAATCAGAGGATTGATGCTCTTTGGATTTTGTCTGTTTAAGAGGGAAGAACTATATATGGAGGAAGGTGTTGTGTTAAAGATATTTCGAGGAACTCAACATAAACTTTTTTTCTTTCTGCAGCTCATGTCATTAGGCTGCCTGTTGTTATGAGGCTCAATCAATCATTGCATAAGGTCACAAGATCTGTATTGAGATCAAGAGTAGCACAGTGTATTCGTGTATGAACTATTTTCATCTTACGAATAGAGCCGTAAATACTAATTTATCCCAGATGAAAATGTTCACGACCTTTAGCAGAGTTTTACTAATCTTTTTTTTTTAGACAGTTGTTTACCATGCCGAAAATTTTCGATTTCCTTATTGTATGAGAATAGTTTTTATATGGACTTGTTTTTAGTTTTTTTATTTTTTAAATTGCTGAAAACCGAGGAGGGTCGGAGGAAAAAAAGTAGAATGATGAAAATTTCAAAGGGATGAGTAATGTCTATGTGATGGGAAGAACCCTATGGTGGAGTGATGCCCTTCGCAGTGGATTATTCATTTATTCTTAGGAGTCAAATGCCAACGGTTAGTGCTGGGATATTTGTTACTATAGTTATTTACTTATGTCATTTCCCTTTGTTTCTCATAACTGTTAACTCTACACTTGCATACAAGTACTTTCATACCGACAGATTTCACAATTTCAGTTATTTCTTTTAATGACCTTTTGTGTATGTCTTTTTTGTCTGTTTTGTTTCTGTCTGTTACATTACTTATTCACCGATTGACAGTTCTGCCTGGTTCATGAAATGATTGAGAACAAGGAGTGAAAAGTACTTGCATGGTGTTATTACTTTGCTAAATTTGGTCAATCTTTCATATGATTTCTTGTGTCATTTCTGTACCCTGTGTTCATCTCTAGTCAGTTTGAAACTTTGCATTTTCTGAAATATGAACTGGAGAATGGGGTTCTGCCTACCATGATTTCTAGATAGTTTTATTTTTCAGGTGACTGATGGTGATGGTTTTGTTTTTCTTCTGGAGTAAATTTCTGCGTCCATTCAAGATTTGGTGAATTCTGTGAGAATGCAGGCACCTTCATTTCCTGTGGTGTGGATTGAATAAATGAAAATTTTGGAGTGAGAAGAAAAAAGTGGTGCTGAATCCATTATATATATATGGGTAATGGAAGGAAAAAAAGGGAAGGGTGGGGTGAAGGATGGGGTACAGGACTTTGTTTTTGCTGTACAGCTGTCTAGAACTAGAACAGAAATGAAAAGCCAGTGAAAGTATTTGAAAAGGAGGATAAAATTACACAAATCAACTGGTGCTCACTTATGTAACAAAAGAAGTGAATTTGAATGTGTTAAGTATTTTATCGTTTACCTGGTCTTAGAAAAAAAAAGAAATTAATTTTCGTTCGGAGTTTGTTGAGGAAGACATCACATAATCATATTTCTTGCTTAATGTTTTCTATATTTTTATGGTAGGAAGTATTGGTAAGAACATTTACTACATTTTTCTTGAAAGAAAGAGGAGTATATAAGTGTAGCATACACACTCGTATCATGTATGTCCTGGTGACTTCTGGGAATATTTTTATTTGTTCCTTTAGATTTTATTGTTTTAATGATGTGGGTGCACTGAGAACAAATGCTGAAATAATGCTATCAAAAGAAAATGAGAACGTAAATGATTGTCGTGGCTAGAAATGAGAGTTGAGAGTTTGTACAGAGACAGGGCTAATAAAATTTTATGTCTAGAATCAAATGTCTTGTTTTGTCTGAAACAAAGAACTGTGAGTTGTTATGCTTCAAAATTTGGCTCAAGTTCAAAATAATTGTAAGAAATTGTTTTTTAAATGAATTTGAATGCCAAAATTGTAACTTTGTTTGCAAGTACGTACCTAGTATTCTGATAAGTGAATTTTTTCTTTGTCATTAGAAGTGTGGTTACAGACTGACTTTTGTTTGAATAGGTTGTTCACTGTGAACACTATTTCTACATCAAAGCGGACACAATGTGTATGGCTTGACAAAGAACCTTATATGCATGACTCATTTTTGGCTGAAAACTTTTTTTACACAAACTATTTTTCTTAGCTGGTATTTTGTATTCGAGCCACACAGCGAGTTTATACTTCCTGTGGAGGTGTGCCCGTCTTAACACTCACCAGTGACACACGACAATCATAAATGTTCCATACTTATTATGTAGTCTTGTGCACCACATCACGTTTAGCATTTCTGATAGCAGTTGGGTAGCTTACACTAAAAGCGGTCCCTAATTGCTGTTTGGCCTGTTTTGTTAGAATTTTGACTTGCATCCATGAACATGGCCTTTTTGTTGCCTTTGTTTTCATCAATCATCCTACTTCATTGATCCATGTGTAGGTCAGCAATAGAGCGATCTTCTCAGTATATACATGTGGTCTTTGTCTGGAGCGTTTTCGTGCTGGGAATTTATGTGTACCATACTAATGTCACCAAATATTGCAGTGTTTTGTAATACTGTCATACCTCTTTCATTTTGTGATTGTCTTGTGCAGATTTGCCAGTCTGATTGAATACATGTACGACAACTGACTGTGTCATGCCACTTGGGCACCCGTTCTGGTTCTGTGACTGTGCAGGTGTGTTGGTGCCTGGTGGGATCTGTTGTCTTTTCATTTCATGTTTCTTGTATGAAGTAGAACATGCAACTATTTCGAACTAAAGAAGTCCAGACTGTGGTGGTTGAAGTGTCCCTTAGTCATGTCATGTTCCCCCGAGGTTGTTAGCCAGAGGTAACTGAATCCTATGTGTTGACTGAGAGAGAGTTGTGTGGGGGGGGGGGGGGGGGGGTGTGTGTGTGTGTGTGTGTGTGTGTGTGTGTGTGTGTGTGTGTGTGTGAAAGGGAGGGAGGAGGAGGAGGAGGGAGGAGGGGAAGGAGGAGAGGAAGGAAGGGGGGGAGGAGGAGGGAGAAAAGTGAAAGATAACTATACCTGTGGGTGTATTGTGAGACTGAAAATAAATGGCGCTTTCAAAATTATTTAAATTGATTTATTACAGATGACACTGAGGTATGAAATAGTGTGATCAGGTATTTGCATCATACGCCATGTGAAGCTTGAAAGTTTACTTTGTTTCGCATATCTCCATACTCAAAAGTACTCAAGACTCAAATCTTAAATTTCTTAGTCTGAATTATTGTTTTTGCTCTTTTTCTATTTCTTGAATTTTAAATGATATTGAAGCAATAAAGTTTGTAATCGTTTTAGTTCCTTGACAAGTTGATTTTCTACTGTACTCCAAGCTTAAATTACTCTCAAACTGGGAAGGAAAAGGGAAATTATGGGTAGCTTTGAGGTGCCCCAAATTGATCCTATTTCTACAATTTCCCTCTGCTTTTTCTGTCTTGTGGTCTGAGCTTTACATGCTTACTGCCGTCAATGTGCTTCTCTTTCTCTGAAATTTGAAGGAATTTTAGAACTGAAAATACAACTTTTTGTTTGTTTTGTCTAAAACGACAACTTGTGGAGTAATTAACTTGTGGTTTGATGCAGTAACCTGAAGCATCATTTGAGCTGGAGAAGGTAGGAATTTCAATGAAATATCAGCTTTTTTTCTCTGGGTTTGCTCAAGCAGAAATATGATTTGTGAGATCTTTGCTTTTAGAGGACTCACATCTGGCATCTACCGGTATTTCGGTTTTCACCGAGGGCTTGCCTAGACTAAATCTGTGATGACTATTGTTTAGTATTCTCTGTGATGGGACTCTTGTGAAACGCTGTACAGGCATGGTGAAGTTGTTTATTTTCTATTCCCTTGTTTCGCGCGTCACATGGCCGCTCTAACAATTGATTGTTGATGTATTTGACAAGCAGCACAGTTCATAGTAGCAATGCCAGCCACTTATACCCTGAAGTTGAACATTGGCTTGCGTGTGTCTGAGCAATTTGTGCAGGGCGTATTTGTACACATTTTTTAATATGTGTCTAGAGAGAATGAAAGAACTTCTGAAAGGCCGAGTCTATTTGTGGAGAAAAAAAGTACGTTTGCATTAAATATTCTCTAACTTTGAATTCTCTCCCCCAAAAACACTTAGTATAATGGAGTTGCTAACAGCGCTGTCAATGACTGTACAAAAGCTATACCTACATTATATTTACATTTATACATTATATTTATCATCTCTACATAGTGGTGTCTCATCATTCAGGTGGGTTTTTTTCATCATCGGAATTAACCATATGTTGTTGGTAGTTGCTTTGTGCGTCTTGTCTGATGATGTCAGTTTCGTCTCTCAGTAAATTGTTGTTGTAATTGTCAGTAAAAAGTTTTTGTAACAATAGCTGTCTGCTGCTCATACCTCAAGGTTTTTACTGTAACTCATAGCATGGTCTTGGTATTTATAGTGATAATTTTTGTCGCTGTCTGATTTGAAAAGGTATTTTCTAGGGCTGATAGCTTTTGTTCTAAATAATTTGACTATTAACTACAAGCAATTATTTTTTCTCTTTTTTGGAGCAAGTGTTTAGTGTTAAGGTGGAATTGCTCCTAGTCAGTGATTGCTTTGACAGTGGAATAAAATTTCCCCTCATTTCGGGCTTGTGTCTGCCGAGTAGGCGGGTCTGAGATAGTGCCAGCATCTGTCATCTACCAGCAGCATGACATATAGGCCCCCTGTGTATCTTATACTTATAGTATCAACAAAGGCTCTGTGGTCTGAGACTGTCTTTTCTGGGATTTTCAAATTTGACAGGGTAAACAATTCAGTGTAATTTCATTCTAGTATTTAGTCTGAACAGTTAGCCTGCAAGTATTGCTCTGTGAAATAGGAGAGTACTAGTGTGGCATTTAAACAAAACAGCAGCCTTGCTAAAAATTTATAAGGAGAAAACACAATGATAACCAAGCTTTGTTTAGTAATCATTATCCCCACGACTATGCAAAGATTAATAAAACTCTCTCCCAGTTGTCAGTAAGACTGAATGTGACAGCCTCAGATTTATGGAGTCTTTGGTATGTTAGCCACCTCTCCCTGAGTTGACCCAGCTTTGCCCAACTGTTTGTTGTTTACTGCATGCTACTAACCCATGACTTTATAACCTTAACCTGAAGCAATTGCCAGGCTGGAGAAACTGTCGTGTTTGACCTCAGAGTCCGGTGCTGAGGAGGTCAAAGGTCAGATGTACCCTGCAGTATATTTTCACCACTGCCCAACCTCCCATTTGGTAAAAACTGAATTGGAGGATACAAACCACAAGCTCGAAAGAAACAAAATTACACTTTAAATTTAACTGAAACAATGTAACAGTTCCTTTGGTGCGAAATGGATCTTCATAGCTTTGAAGTACTGTAAGGGACTTGTGGAAAGTGATCCTGGAAAGACACTGATAATGATGTCAATGTAATTCTCAAGCCATTTGTATTGTTCTCTTAAATGCAGTCATGCAGTTAGCCTGTGACTCGCATCAAGAATATAGCATCTGGCTAGGGTTATGCTGTATTCTGAAATCTTAACAAGAAAATGTTTTTTGTGGTGATCTGCTCAGCTCTAGTGACTCTGGGCTACACACCAGACCTGTGGATGATAAGTCGTTTTTATGATCTCTGTTTGTATATTGTGCCAAGTAGTAGTGAGCAAGAGAACTTTACTGACGCTGTGTACACTGTCAATGATAATAAAGTATCATGATGTATAGTCCTTTTGTCTCTCTTTCTATTTTGTCATGTCTGTTAATCAGTGTTTACACTATTTAAGAGCATGTCAGTGTTTGTTTGTTTTATAAAGTTTTTAATAATTTTCATGTTGCTCTGGACTCTATCTCCTTTCCTATCAAACAGCTACAGTCCGTGCCGGCTTTAAGCATGCTGGCCTTAAGCACGTTTCGGACTCAAGCACGCTAAACGGCTCTTACCGAATATTTTGCAATGTGAACTACACGCCTTTAAGCACGGTAACTTCGGCTTCAAGCACGCTTCATTTACAAGACAGTCAATATTTTCACGATGACCCATCGAAGTTCGAACACAGTTTACACTGCAGCGGTGGAGTGTGTCAAGAGAAACACAAAGAACGCGAGTGATGGACACACACACTCACACGGGCGGAGAGGAAGGCAGAGAGATGCACACAGCCGTGCGCGCGGACATAGGATCTAGCCTAGGCCTAGGGCAAAGCTACACACGACCAAAAAAAAAAATACAAAGAGAGTCGGGGAGACGAGAAAGGTAGGCTGGCTGCGATTTCACCTTTGACCCTCGCTATCCATTAATCCTGATTGTGTATCACGCGCGAGGTGGGATGAAGGCGGTGGTATGAGTGGCACAGCAGGCAGTGGTACGCACGGGCAGTGTGTTACAGTAGGCCTAGTGTGCTGTATCGTGACTGGCCGTCTAAATTAAGTTTTCATTTCCCATTCGACCACAAAACAAAAACAAACAAGTGAACAAAAACTACCATGGTGGGTAAAAATAACAGTGCACACTTTTGCGGGACCGCTATAGGCCTACTTACAAACAAAGGGAAATAGCACGGGGTATTTTCTACATGAAAATCTCTGGATTTTGTCTACTTCGCACTTAAGCACGCTTTGGCTTTAAGCAAGCTTAAGCTTTCTCCCGATGACCGTGCTTAAAGCCGGTATGGACTGAATTATCCTTATCTTCCCTCCTTTTGTTTGTATAATGCTCTCTAGAAAAACATCTAATCTTTGATGCATTTGTGTTGAAAGTGCTGTAAAACTGTTACTAAAACTAAAATGTTACCTCTGGTCTGCGGTGGTTCTCATGGTCTAGAGGTATGATGTTCGCCTTTCTTAAATATGTCTCGGGTCAGAAAACCGAAAATTTTCTTCTATCATCTCCTTTCGAGCACTACTACTATGTTTTGTTGTCTTCTTTCGTCCTTACTTTCAACCCCCTCCTCTGAGCTCCTGACTCTTTCTTCTCCTAATGTGTCCTGCGCGTTCATATGACCTTGTGCAGTTGTGAGCGTCATAAAACACTTACCCCCCCCCCCCACCCCTAAAAAATTAAATTAAAAATTATATCATATGAATGAAGCTGATTCCTCCATTATACTTAATGGTCAGTGGCTCAGACATGTGCCCTAGTTGTGCAGCCTGACACACAATGCCTCTAATGTGTTCAGTGTCACGTCTGCATGTTGCCGAAATTGTGACTCAGTATGGCTGCCACTCATGTCAGAATCCCATCGCTTCATTTGAGAAGAACACGGTTACAATATCCACTGAGCACCGAGAAAGGTTCATTATGTTCATTCAATTAATATTGACTTTCCCTTGCTATTTCTGATGAGTTACACAATAGGTTACTTTTGCAGGACAAACATCTATGAGAATCATCAGCTTCAGTAGGGCCTATAGCCTAATGTGAGGTGTGATGACAAAATGAGCTCTGTCTCGCAATCCACAGATGAAGATATTGGCCATAAATCCTTACTGATGTTATTTTAACTTCTAGATTTTCAATTGATGCCAATTTCTTCAAATGTACATTTATTTTTGTTTTTATTATAACTAAAACCAAAAAAATACACTTGAAGAAATTGGCGTTAATTGAAAATCTACAAATTTGACATCAGTGTGGATTTTTGGCCAATATCTTCATCCGTAATCTTCAAGTATAGTATGTCTTTTATTCATAATTTCACACTTATGAATTGTACAACCTCCACCTATAAATGTGTCAATATCTTTAGTCGAAGGGCTAAAATTTGAGAAGTAATTGTCAGCATGCCTAACAAATGTTTGTATAGGCAATACAAAATTCCTTGAGCAAGGACCAGTATTGCATATCATACAGCTGCTTCTGCTTAAACCGACAGTGTGTCATTACTTATAAAATTCAGTGTTGAACACAGACTCCCCGTGATGCACAAATGTACGGCTCCCATAGAAAACTGCCAGTAGGTGGTTGACAGGTGCTCTGGCGTGGTTTGCTTCTTTCCTATCAAACATCAGTCATCCTTATCTCTCCTTCTTTACTTTGTGTGTTGCTCTTTAGTAACACCTTATCTTCAGCACTTGTATGACCAATAATTTGCATTGCAAGTGCCGTTAAACTCTTACCAAAACTTTTTTTAAAAGCCGCCTATATTTTTCAGCACCTCAGATTTCTCCCTAACATGCAGTCAGTGCAGTGTGAAAATACACTTAGTCATAATGTACGGTAGTGTCGGTAGCTGAGTTGTTAGGCTACCAGACCCATAATTCTGAGATTGCAGATTCGGCGGTTTGAGCCGAAGCTTGATCTGACGTGTCCTTGGGAAAGGCTCTTTACACTAATTTCCCATCTGACTTCTACACAACAAGGAACTGTGTATGCAATAATAAGAGTGCCATCATTTGACACACTCCAAGGAAGCCAGCCCACAACCTGACAAGACAAAGCCAGGAGAAGAGAAAAAGAAGAATAAGGCGCTGAGATCCATCTGGGACCATAATCAAGAGGCAAATCTCTGCAGCGGGCTGCAGGTGGAGAAGATCACCCAGAACAAAAACAGGTGGAGAGCTCTTCTTGGTAACCCAAAACCAGGATGAAAGGAGCAAATGATGATGATGATGATGACGATGAAAGGTGCCATTGCGGTCAAATAAACAATAAACATCTAAAAAATTCAAACTCTCAATATTCATGTGAGCACAAACCCTCACGTCTTAGATGGTAGAGAAGTGGTTAAAAAAACAAACGTTTATTCAATCATTCTTCAAATAGGCAGACACACATACAGAACAAATAACCAATAACACAAAATTAAAATGTATTTTTGGAAATTGAGCAAAATCTGTCTCTTGATGTGTTGTGCCATTAAAAGTATACAAATAAAATTTTAATGAAGTTTGTCTCTTTGATCACAGGGTTTGGGCTCAGTGCAGAGGAGAGAAAGAATTTTTTGCAAAAAGATGATATGGGACTGAATTTGTGTTTGTAATTTCATAAAAATCTGGGATTGGTACAATTTTACCTCCAGAAAGATTCATTTGTATCATTTTAGAAGCAAGTGCTCGTTTTTTAAATTAAATTTAACAATTACTGTCATAATTAACGTATACCTTGAAAAATAAATTTCTTCTAAAAGTGTCCAAGCAGCACGTTGGAATAAACATTTCTTATCACTACCATTGTCCAAATCAAAATCAGTATTAGGCCTACTCTTAAAAAGTTTAATATTAACAGTTTCTGCATATTTGATTGGCTCCACATTTTTCCTTGTTCTGAAAAGTATTTTCTATTACTTTGAATTGTCATAGGATCTGTGTAAGTAGGCCTAATCAAAAGAAGCAATATCTCTCAATGCTTTTGAACTTCAATGTGTATTTCTCACTGTCCTGAGATTTTACAAAAATATGAAGAAGAAGTACAATGAGCTAAGTCTCTCTCTGATTATTATGGTGACAAAGATTGTGAAACAAGCATTTTAGAGAATGGCACTATGACTATTTGGAAGTAAAATATTCTGTAGGAAGATGGCGGGAAAAGTCCTTGCAAAATGGAAAATGGACAGATGAATTACATCATGTATTAAATAAAAGTGATTATAACTTGTATCAATAAGTCTCTTTGAGGAAAAACAACCAGAGAAATAATAATTTTAAGTGGCTCTTTTGGTATTGTGTAAGCCTACTTATTTCATGTCACAAAATAGAGATCATAGGCCTATATGAAAAAATCTGATTTATGTCATTTTTCAAGCAGAAAACAAAATGAATCAGACATTATTTGCACAAAGAGATGTGCTTGGAAAATAATGAGCAAAGAATTAAAACAATGTTTCAAACATCAAGTACATTTTTTTTTGCTGCATTGTAAAACAGTTAAAAATGAATTCACGTCCATGAATGAAAAAAAAGAAGAAAATTCATTGTGCCCTTTGTCAAGGTAATGAAAAGGTCTTTTCACATTAATCATAATATTGTCAGCTAGCTGTTCAGATGTAGGCCTACTATAAGCTTAAAACAATGAAATTTTTTTGTCATTGTAGTGTTTTAATTGGGGGTATCAGCTGTATGTAGGCTACTCCAGAAATATTTTGTCAAAATTCAGATTCTAAATTTAAAAAAAAGCCCCCCAAAATATACATAATTTGGATACAATATTTTAAAGAAAGAAACAGGTTTTTTCCTTTCTCCAAAATAATATTATTGCCCTCTGAGCTTAGAACAGTTGATCTTATGAACAGCTTTCTGACGATACGCACAACAACAACAACAACAACAATGTTCTTCTTTGGCTTGCCATGCTGGCGAGCTGTATAAAGCATTGAAATTTGCTGTAGTAAACTTTAGCCTAGTCTGTGGTCACTCTTGGTAGTACATGCATGAAGATGGAATAGATAATGAAAATGATAATGGCATTGACGAAGTAGAAAAGCAATGGCATACTCTGGTGACCTTTGACACGGCCTAATTTCTTGTAGTAGGTCACGACCTGGGAGAGGTCATTCTGGACTGTCGGGGAGTAGCCAAGGTCAGTACGGGCTCGCTGGACGCTGAAGTAGTGGGTCACTCCGGTCTTGTACACCTGTGGGCAGATTAATTATGTAAGACATAAGTACAGAGCTGTACTATTTCTTTTTAATATTAGAAACCATTACAACACAATAACGACCACTTGAGAGGTGGGGTTGATATGCAAGATGCTGCTATGTTTCATTGTTTGTTCGTTGTTAAAATTATGCTGTTTTGTTTTCCGTTGGGTTTTTTTTCTGCATACTGTAATAATATTCTTCTATTTTGGGGCGGGGGTTATTTGGAAAGATGATCAGCCTAAAAATTAAAACAGCCAGATTGTGAGTAAGGGAAGTAACTCTAAGAAAGAGGTATCTACTAGCAATATATACATAGGCCTATTTATCTCCCATAAAATCACACAAAAATAAAAACAGCAAATTAATGCGAACATGAAAAAGGAAACCTGAGAAGCAAAAAGAAAAAGAAAAGAAAAGAAACCAGAAAAAACCCCAGACAAATAAGCAAAATGAACCCAATAGATCTTTATAGTTAGCCTGTACATAAATACAAGCAAGTTATTTTTGGTGCAAACGTGAGTTTTACCTCTGTCCTTGTCAGAATGGGCTGGAAGTTGTAGACTGTACTCACAATGTAGTGCACTATTTCTGTGAGCCAGGCTGGGGAAATATATCAAAGTGTCTGTCAATGCTGATCAAACATCTCTTACTTAGCTAGCTTAAAAACTCTATTGATTGCCATATATATTTTTTTTTTTTCAGGAAGCCAGTTGAAAAAAAAATCTTTTTGAAACCAAAAATACCAGTTTCTGACCCTTGAGAGCAAAAATAATAAAACCAAATAAGAAATGAAATAATAAAAATAAAAACAAGAGAAAACAACTTTAAAAAAAGACCCAACAAAAATTAAAACAGGGACTTGTTATTGAACATATCTGAAGAGTATAAATGAATAGTATGGTCCAGTGGCTAAATGAGTAGGCTAGTGAGTTCAGACTCAAAAGTAATGTTAAGCAAGAGTCAGTGACATAGGACTAAATCGATCGTCCTGATCTCCCCTTCCTTCATCTTTTTTATGTTTGTTACTCTCTTGTAACAGCTCTAATCTTCTGGCACTCATATGACATACGCAGTTACGAGCGCCGTAAAACCTCTACTAAAACTAAAACTAAACATAGGGCTAAGGTGGGCAGACACTGGGGCGTGTCCATGAGCAAGACACGACAATCTAATTTAAGAAAACAGGTTCATTTATCTTGCTTTCGATGAAAAAAATATCCATTTATCTAGAATACAAGTTGAGACATTTGAGAATAAAGGAGGTGGGGGTCACCTGGTTTCAGGGGTAAAATTAGTGAGAAATGGCCGCCAAAGATGAGTTATTTCTTTAGCTTGAGAGCCCGTGGAAACTGAAAATTTATATTTTTGTGTGCCTTTAATCAACGTTTTTCAGTAAAATCCACACAGAAATCTGTTCTTTAATGGTCATGAAAGGGGTTACGCCAAAAAACAGAAATTCAATAAAAATTCACAAACCTGCGGGAAAATGCCAGTTTCTTTATTTTGATTACTTTGACGAGCGCCTTATTTCACCACACTGCCTCACAATTGTGTATTTATGTATACGTACACAAATTTCCCTACGGAGGTAAAAAAAAAACCATTTATTTAGTATTCTAAAAGTTTGGGCTTATTACATCTGAATAGCTGGTCGACCTTATGTAACAACTAAATCATTCCGCTGCTTGGAGCGAGTCTCTCACCAAAGTAGAACACTGGGAGGAAAGGCAGGTTCACAGCCGGATACCCATAGCCCAGTCCTTCAAACTGAAAAAGAGAAAGCAATGTAAATGAATTTGTTACTTTTTGAAAAAAGTATTTCTGAAGTAATATGAATCTAGATTCTAGACATAGTAAATTTTAGCAACATAACAATAAAAACAGACTTTCATGCATCCCATAGGCCTACTGTGCAGTATTACAACGTAATAGCCTTAGGCTACCTGGTATCAAGCAGAGAGGTGAATATTTCACAGCCGCCAGACCGACAACAAAACCAACAGCAACAAAAAATAACGGGGTGCTCTCGTGGCCTAGAGGTTAAGGTGTTGGCCTCTCATTCAAAGGTCCCGGGTTCGAATCCGGGTAGCGACCGAAAACTTTTTTTCTCTAAAATTGTCTCCTTTCACCTCCTTTCCTGCTCTCTAGCAATATTCTGTTGTCTGCTTTCATTTCCACTTTCTGCCCCCGCCCCCCTCACCTCCTTTGCCCCCTCCTCTGGGCTCCTGACTCTTTCTGCAGCCTTTCTACTGCTACTCCTTAGCTCCTCCTTACTGCAGTCTTTCTGCCACACCCCTGATCTTCTGGTAGGAAAGATCTACACCTAGCCTTCTCGGACAAGGGTGAAAAATCTCGGAGGGCCCGTGTGCAAGTTGCGCACATTAAAGATCCCTTGGTGGTCTAAAATCGATAAGAGTAGGCTTCGGCCGCCACCCGGGCAAAATTCAAAATTTCCTACCAACTGAAAATATTAGGTGTGTCCTGCGCGCTCATATGACCTATGCAGTTGCGAGCGCCGTAAAACACTTTACAAAAACAAAACAAAAAACAACAAATAACAACAACAACAACAAAAACAACAACAACAACAACATTTACAATATTTTAAAAAATAAAGTAAAGATGCTCAGATGCTCAGAGTAGAATAATCTAAAGCCTTTAAAATCAAAGGAAGCTAATGGGTTTAGGATGAACACAGCAAAAAACAAATGTAAAATTCTTACCAGAGGGCGAAAAAATTCAAAATTATTCACAGGTTTGTCGTCTGAGATGAAGTACGCTCTTCCAGCCTGAACATTGAAAAATAAACCCACATTGTTAGCGAAATTTTGTAAAATAGGCCTACAATTTAATATATTATACACCAATATTAACTACATGAAAGACGTCCAAGAAAGTCTAAGAAAAGTCAACGGCTATTGAAGTAATGAATATTCAATGGTACGCCCTATTCATCATCATCCTGTGCCAGATCTGCGATAGACATCGGCGATCACGGTTCTCCATTCATTCCTATTTAATTAGGCGCTATTAGATGCGCTAAAAACATTTGAAAGGTTTATCAAATACACATTCTATTAGTCTTGTTAAACGTTTTGAAGTTCAAATGAGAGTAAAGAGCTGAAATAAATGGCCTTATAAAGCCTTCTTGAAATAAGGTGACCCTTCAAGATACCAGGGTATCTCAACACACGGACCACTAATATTGTATCTGTGTGACATTGTAGGCTTACCGTTCAGGAGGGGAAGTAATACTTAAATATCTCTAAGCAAAATTGAATTAAACTTGGTTGTCTCCCTGACATAAGAATGAAGGCGCAGTCTCAAAAATCAACAATCAAAACAGCGTGCCCACTGTGTGCCCAGCTTTATTTGTACTAGATTATCCACGTTGATAGAGAGAGGGACAGAGAGAGATAGATAGATACATAGATAGGTAGAGAGAGAGAGAGAGAGAGAGAGAGAGAGAGAGAGAGAGAGAGAGAGAGAGAGAGAGAGAGAGAGAGAGAGAGAGAGAAAAAAGGAAGATAGATAGATAGATAGATAGATAGATAGATAGATAGATAGATAGATAGATAGATAGATAGATAGATAGATAGGATGATGAACAGACAGACAGACAGACAGACAGACAGACAGACAGACAGACAGACAGACAGACAAACAGATAGACAGAACGAAAAGGGAGACAAAAAGAACAATAAACAATCAGGCCAGACGAACTACTGGCTCTCAAACTATTGACCCCCATTTGCTATTCCCCTTAACAAGTATTGATCCAACAAAACTCACCCTCTTAAAAATAATTATTACAGAAGGGCCCCTTACTCCTCCTCAATAACTAGCTCCTCCACACAATCAACCCACTGACAGACCACATAAGCCTCTCTCCTAAAAAAATAATAAAATGAAAGACGGTGCTTAGTTCCCCTCCCCTAAACAAATATACTGCTGACAGCCACATAGCTCCTCCCCCTAAATAAACTAGCTCCTCCCCTCAACAAACTACTGACAGCCACATAGCTCCTCCCCTCAACAAACTACTGACAGCCACATAGCTCCTCCCCCTCAATAAACTAGCTCCTCCTCTCAACAAACTACTGACCGCCACATAGCTCCTCCCCTCAGTCAGCCCCTCAGCGGCCAGGGCGTGGGCCTGTACCAGGTTGTCCACGTGCAGAAAGTCCACCAGCGACTCGCGGGATCCGTACGTCACCTTGACCAGACCCTGCTCCAGGTACGACTGTCGGAGAGTAAAATATTTAATACTATATGAATAAATAAGAGGTAAATGAATAAATTATTATGAATAAATGAATAAATAAGGAATGAATGAATAAATTATAAATACAAATAAATGAATAAATTCCACTTTATTGATCGTCTGTGGGTAATAATAAGAGAGCCATATAAAACTAATGATGCTGAATGTAATAATAATAATAATAATAATAATAATAATAATAATAATAATAATAATAATAGTAATAATAATAATAGTAATAATAATAATAATAATAATAATAATAATAATAATAATAATAATGATGATGATGATGATGCTGATAATAAAATAATAATGATAATAATAATGGTAATAACAATGACAGAACAATAGCAATACCAATAGCAATAAGAATAACAATATGAATAATGATAATAATAATATAAAATTATTAATTGTTTATACAAGTACTCTCATTACATCATAGTCATATTATCATACTGCTGGTAATATGTATGTGTGTCTGTGTGTCTGTGTGCCCCCCTGTGTGTGTGTGTGTGTGTGTGTCTGTCTGTCTGTCTCTCTGTCTCTCCCTCCCTGTCTTTCTCTCTCTCTCTCTCTCTCGTACCCGTCTCTCCCTCTCTCAAAATTCACACACACAACACACACACACACACACACACACACACACACACACACACACACACACACACACACACAGACAAACAGACACATACACAAACAAACTAATATATATACGCCACTCGCCCTCTCACGCGCTCCTGCTTGATTCTATCACATCTTTCTCAGAGCCACGAACAAAAATACACTGTACCATCATATAGGCCTATACGTGGAAACATGCTGAGAACAATATTTGGATGTTTGCGAAATATTATTTCAGGGATTTGAGGGAAAAAAAGGTGGAAG